AGTTGGGTGGGGGGAGTTTTGGGGGCGGGGCTTACACACCGTCCTGAGCTCTGATAGGTCTGTGGCTGGACATGTGAGACCTGAGCCACAGGCAGAGCCTCCTGCTTGGCCTTAGGTCCAACGTCCCTCCCTGTGGTGACTCCACCCTGTCTGGAGGCCACGGAGGCGACCCTGGTGAGGAGGCTGGAGGAGGTGCTGGAGGAGGTGCTGGAGGAGGTGCTGAGGAGCGCGGCGGTCGAGCCGTCCTGACCACAGTCCCCCCCCCTGGTCAAGGCCACCGCCTGGGCGTTTCCCAGGGTGCTCGGCCTGGCACCCACGATCTGCACGGGGATGTGCGGCGGGTTCAGGGGCTGGGAGGAGCCACTGGAGGGAGGTGGGGCCGGCAGGATGGGGGGAGGGTTTCGTGAGGGCAGCTGCAAAGGAAGACGTAGACCCTGCAGGGTTTTGGGCTGGATGGGAACCGGTCCGTTGCTGGACTTGTCGGCGGCCGTCAGCAGGGCCTTCTGCAGGGGTTGGACCACCAGCGTCTGAGCGCTCAACGACGGTTTGATGAAGCTGTGGCTCTGAGACGTCGCTGCCGCCTTGGACGCCAGGACCAGGGTGTGGGCCGATGCCGAGGCAGTTGCTGAGGGGGCGGGGCTTCCCGTGGCCACGGTCTGGGGTCCATGAAGCAGGAGCTGAGAGAAAGGGATGGAGGCAGAGGAGCACGGAGTGGAGGAGGAGGAAACTTTCTGGTTGGTGGGATGAGGGTAGGTGGGGATTTTGATGTGAGGCGGGTGAGGAAGAGGTGAGTGGCCCAGCTTGGTGGGTGAATGGTGGGGGGGCGGAGCCACAGAGTGGTCTGCTGGGAGACGTTGGGAGACAATTAAACACAAACCTTTAAAGTCAGTCACAGAACAATCCTCCAAATGTTAGCCTCTGTTAGCCACGTGGGGAGATTAGCTCCCCCTACTGTCATTCCGTTGGCCTTTTTTAAATGGTTTCTTTTGGGCTAACTTGATAAGGCTAATAAAGAGCCAGCTTTGGGCTAGCTTAAGGCTATATTTTAGCTGTTAGCTAAGTAGCTAAGTCTACCTGTGTTGCTCCTTTCTTTGACTTCAGTCTTAACAGCGCCATCCTTAGGACTGGACAGGCCTCGCAGTGCTAAGTTGTGCACCTGCAGACAGACAGATCAGATTAACCCTTTCTCCTGAGTCTTCACCTGCTCACGTTTAATGTCCACACACCTGCTCGTGATCTGATTGGCTGCTGGATGAGGGAGTGGGCGGCGGCTCTCGCTGCTGCGTTGCGGCCTTTTGGGCGACGCTGCCGCTGGGCATGAAGATGAGCTGAGGAGAGATGGGAGTCTGCAGGGAGCGGTTGACCTGCGGGAGGACAAGAGGTCAACAAAGGTCAGAGCTGAGAAAACTGGAGTTGAACCTCCGTCAACAGTTGTTGTTATACCATGATGGAGGGGCAAATGTATTTGCCCCGGACAAGGGTAAAACATGAAGTTTGTCCCCTGAGAGCTCCTGTAAGAACCTGCTGATCCAACACTGAAGGATTTGACAACAACGATAACGACAACAATAATAATAATAACAACAATTTACACCTCCCCAGTTGACCCCAACGGCCCACCCAACAGGGGGAGCTGAAGTAGCTTTTGTCTTTGTCACACCCAGAAAATACATTTGCTGTACTTCCCACCACCACCAGTGGGTGCTGTACTCTTAGATCAGAGGTTGTCTAACAGAACTCTTCAACCTGGACCATGACCTGGACGACTGAGAATCTTCATAGACAACAATCACAGCAACAATCACAGCAACATTTTAAAAAAATCATTACAACCACAATAACGACACGGTGGTTTCCCGGGGACTCAAACCCAGGACCTTCTGTGTGAGAAGGACTCACTTTGATGAATTCACTTTGAACATTTACAGACCATAATACTCCACATGTGTGGTCCAACCTGAGGTCCAACCTTCAGTGTTCTGATGGAACTCACCCTCAGGTACATGTGACCCTGTCCTGCTGCTGCTCCACTCAGAAGAACTGATTGGCTGATGGCGGAGGTTGCAGAGGCTCCACCCACTGGACGACTGCTGGGGGTGGACCCCGACCCAGAGGTTACACCCACCTGGAAAATGACAGTTACAATCTTGAACCTTGACCCTGTCCTGTGATGACTGGAGCTCAGGTCAGATACCTACAGAGGAGGAAGAGGAGGAGGAGGAGGAGGAACCACTGCTGCTGGATGATGTGGACTGACGAGACGCAGTCAGAGTGGCCTGAGGAGGAGGAGGAGGAGGAGGAAGAGGAGGAAGAGGAGGAGAAGGAGGAGGAGACGTGTTCAGAGGACAAAGATGTTGTTGTTGTTGTTGTGGTTGTTGTTGTTCTGGTGGTTGTTGTTGGTGTGGTGGTTGTTGTTGGTGTGGTGGTTGTTGTTGTTGTGGGGGTGGTGGTTGTTGTTGTGGGGGTGGGTGTTGTGGTGGTTGTTGTTGTGGGGGTGGGTGTTGTGGTGGTTGTTGTTGTGGGGGTGGGTGTTGTGGTGGTTGTTGTTGTTGTTCTGGAGGCTGTTGTTGGTGTGGTGGTTGTTGTTGTTGTTGTGGTTGTTGTTGTTGTTCCGGTGGTTGTTGTTGGTGTGGTGGTTGTTGTTGTTGTTCTGGAGGCTGTTGTTGGTGTGGTGGTTGTTGTTGTTGTGGTGGTGGTGGTTGTGGTTGTTGTGGTGGTGGTTGTTGTTGTGGTTGTTGTTGTGGTTGTTGTGGTTGTTGTTGTTGTGGTGGTGGTTGTTGTTGTGGTGGGGGTTGTTGTTGTTGTGGTTGGTGTTGTGGTGGTGGTTGTTGTTGTGGGGGTGGGTGTTGTGGTGGTTGTTGTTGTGGGGGTGGGTGTTGTGGTGGTTGTTGTTGTGGGGGTGGGTGTTGTGGTGGTTGTTGTTGTTTGTTCTTCTTCACCTGTTGAACAGCAGCCAGACTCTGCAGCTGAGCTGAGTTGATCTGCTGCTGCAGCATCAGCTGCTGGAAGTACTGGGCCGCATGAGGCTGACGCTGGAGGGCCTGAAGAGCCTACAGGGGAGGAGGGGGGAGAGAGGAGTGAGGAAGAGAAGAAGGAGGAGGCTTTGGTGATCAATGGACACACACACACCTGTACGGCCTGTCTCTCATACAGGGACATGGAGTTCATGGCAGAGGGGCGGGACGGCTCAGATACTGGGCTCCCATTGGTTGATCCTCCCTGCTGGTTCTGTTCTCCATTTGTTTCCATGACTGAGATGAGGAGGAGGAGTGAAGGAGATAAAGAAGACAAGATGAAGAAGATGAAGTGAGGAGGAGACGGAGGACAACGTCGGTCTGGTCAATTCATCGTCGTATTGTGAAACCGTCTTAAACCGAACACCGTCTTCTCTCTGAGTTCGTTATGACAACTGAAGCTTACGGCGGTCATTTCTCACAGAAATCTGGGTAAACTGAAGCAGGAGGAGCAGCAGGAGGAGTATGAGCCTCCTCTCTCCTCCATTTTGCTCCTCCTCGGTATAGGAACCTGAGGTTTTGCTCCGGTTCTTACCGCTGCTGCTGCCGCACCTCCTGCCCGGGCGGTGTTCTCACCAGCGGCTCCAGAGCTTCCGCTCTTCATCTGCTTCCTGTTTCTCCTCTCCTCTCTTCTTCTCCCCTCCTCCTGTCTCCTCTCCTCTCTGGTGATGTTGATAACTGGGAGAATAGTGATGCGTTCACGGACTGCTGTTCTTCTTCGTCTGCTTCTACTGGGACACGCCTCCTTTTCTCCGCGTCTTTTCAGACTTCCGGTGCCTGCTGATGACGAAACGGTGGTGGTTGGTGGGGATGAGGGGTGACAGCGTCTGGTTCATCCGAACCTAGAGGAAAAACGATCTTTTCTTCTTGATTGATTTGATTTCATCGCTGTGACCAGTCCAGAGGAGGAGCGGCTCTAGCGCCCCCTCCCTGCGACCGTGCAGAGGAACAAGTGAAAGAGTTCTGATGGATGGATGACGTCAAGGTCGGGTTTTAAAAATTTAATGTGAGTGAAGGAAATCACTCACACACACACACACACACACACACACACACTGAGTGACAGAAGCGTTTTTTATTAAATGACAACAAATAAACAACTAAATTCGACTAAATTCGACTAATTTCGACTTCATTTTCTTTCATACAGTATTTTGATTTGATCCTGGACTTTGATCCTGGTTCGGTTCTGATTGGATCTAAAACTCATACAGTAAATATTTATTAAATATCATATATTTTTAAAAAGTTCCAGCTGTATTACACCGAGGTTGAAGGTTAAAGGTTAAAGGTTAATGATGATACACCGCCAAAAACGACTACCGAACGTCACCATGAGAACATGAGTGTGGCGCCCCCTCGAGTGCAAACACAACACTAACATTGTGACAGACAGCACAGTAACTCCACGAACGTTCATCTGAACCGTCAGTCATCGGTGTGTGACGTCATCAGTGACGTCATCGACGACGGCGTCGCTGTGGTTAAATCTGTATAAACTTCTTCAAATACTCTCTCTTAAATACATGAATATTTTTACTCTTCATCTCAATGACAAATAAATACGTTTCCATAAAGTGCAGCGTGGGAATAAAACGAAGGCGACAATACATCACTGAATATATATAAAATATACTTTGCGTTACACACCACACACTGTACGATGTACTGTGACAGCAGAACACTACACACTATACACACACCGTTAGCCACATGTGCTAGCATCAGGACCTGACGAATGCGACACAACAGTTCCATTCAAAGTTTCCCTGTTCAAACACCAGGGGTCAGTGTGTTGTCGGGATTGCGTTCATTTTTTAAGATAATTAGCAATGCATTTATGGATGTAGTACCATTGGTGGCCACCTGGAAATAGGTCTATATCATATCATTAAATATATTTGTCATGAAAAAAAAACGGTAGGAAGGAAGCTAATCATTTCTGTTGACATTGTTAGGTGCAGTACTACTAATGGCCACCAGCTAGCTACAATTTATCTCCTGAACAAGTAAAACGATAGGTTCAGTATTTTGGCATTATCTAAATTAATTTTGGAAGCCTGGTGGGGATAACATTCAGGGAGCAGTGCCGCTAATGGCCACCAGAGGCTGGTTGCAATAAAACTGGTTCTCTATCTGCCAAAGTGAAATATTCGTCAAATACTTAAATACTAAACGTTTCCCAGGAGACATTTGTTAGACTTACTTTTACGTTGCACGTCTCGATTGTTTATACAACGGTAGCATCTAGGTGTAGGTATTTGACACGTTGGTTTATAGAACTTTTAGCTAGTACTTATAGCTGCAGCGTACACTCCCGTGATTGTTAGTCGGTTATTTCCAACAGAGGTACAGGTATGCTAACCGTCCCCTACACTACTGATCGTGGCGCTAACACCTGAACAAAGTGCATCTAAATATTTACAAGTTGAAGTTTTTGACTTCAACAGGAGAGGGAGCTCTAAACCAGGGCAGCTAAATGTACCTACTCAGTACTTCATAAATTTGGTCTAACCTTATATTTCATTTTCTATGTTGATATATATATATATATTTATATATTTATATATTACACTTTCCCATATTGGAATTAAAATATTAGAGTATTTGTTTTAAGTACTTGTACTTCATGTTATTACTATAAAAGAGTCAAAATCCTACAGTTAGATTTTTAAGCAATACAAATATCTGACCTGCTGTGAAAAAAGTAGGATTTAATGACCTCTAATGGTGAAACTGCAACAGTGCAGAAAATAAAAAATCCACCTCTCTATCCTACGTTTGGATGAAAGGCTACAGCGGTGCATGGAGAATCACTGGGAACAAGTACGCAAAGGGAATAATACGTCAACTCTGTACGACAGGAAGTGAACGACATGAGCGAGCGGCTAACGCTAATTAAAGTGGTTTTTGATTCTTAACGACGACACTTCCTGTGTCAAAGACCCTCCCCTTCCTGTTTAACTCTACACGCTCTCCTGCACGGTCATCGAAGTCACAGCCAGGGGTGTGGTTTCAGCTGCAGGAGGCGGAGCTTCAGCCTTGGCATCCACCAGCGGCACCTTCTCCTTGATGGGTGGAGCAGGAAGTGTCACGCCAGCAGCTGCAGGAGCTTCTTCAATAGAAGACGAGGCAGGAGGAGGGGCGGAGCTAAAGCTGCGGGCGATCTCGTCGAAGGTCTTTCCCTTGGTCTCCGGAACTTTGATGTAGGTGAAGATGAAGAAGATGATGAGGAAGATGGTGAAGATGATGAAGACCCACGGTCCGCACAACTCCTGTGATGTTCAAAGACAACAGAACCTCATTTGGACCCACCCCTGAACGGGAGTGCAAACAGTACCTCTGGTACCGTTTCAGTAGCTTCGTGAACGCTCCGTCTCACTTACCTCCAGTTTAGGGAAACTTATTCCAACCAAGAAGTTGGCGGTCCAGTTGCAGCAGCCGGCCACAGCCATGGCAGCTGGGCGTGGCCCCTGAGAGAACAACTCTGCCACAATGAACCATGGGATTGGCCCGGGCCCCAGCTCAAACATGGCCACAAACACCATGATGGCTGTGATGGCGACGTAGCTCATGGCAGCGATGTTGGACTGAGGACAAGGAGGACAGTTCAAGGTTCACAGAGGGAACACTTCCTGTGATCTTTGACCTACACACAACCAACCAAACCATGAACGGACCAACAGGAGGGAGACGGTCATGACCAGAGCGCTGACGGCCATTCCACCCAGACCCAGGAGATGTAGAGTCCGACGCCCGGCCTTCTCTACCAGGAAGAGCTGTGGGTCAGAGAGACAGAGGGACATGATGTCCACAACACACCTGAACACACACACACACCAAACCCCATGGAGAGAATCAGAGATTTTAGTTCAGACCAAAGTCCATAGAGAAAATCAGAGATTTTAGTTCAGACCAAAGTCCATAGAGAAAATCAGAGATTTTAGTTCAGACCAAACCCCATGGAGAAAATCAGAGATTTTAGTTCAGACCAAAGTCCATAGAGAAAATCAGAGATTTTAGTTCAGACCAAAGTCAGTGGAGAAAATCAGAGATTTTAGTTCAGACCAAAGCCCATGGAGTAAATAAGATGTTATAGTTCAGACCAAAGTCCATGGAGAAAATCAGAGATTTTAGTTCAGACCAAAGTCAGTGGAGAAAATCAGAGATTTTAGTTCAGACCAAACCCCATGGAGAAAATCAGAGATTTTAGTTCAGACCAAAGTCAGTGGAGAAAATCAGAGATTTTAGTTCAGACCAAAGCCCATGGAGTAAATAAGATGTTATAGTTCAGACCAAAGTCCATGGAGAAAATCAGAGATTTTAGTTCAGACCAAAGTCCATAGAGAAAATCAGAGATTTTAGTTCAGACCAAAGCCCATGGAGTAAATAAGATGTTATAGTTCAGACCAAAGTCCATGGAGAAAATCAGAGATTTTAGTTCAGACCAAAGTCCATAGAGAAAATCAGAGATTTTAGTTCAGACCAAAGCCCATGGAGTAAATAAGATGTTATAGTTCAGACCAAAGTCCATGGAGAAAATGATGTGTGCTAAATTGAATGTGTGCTGTGTCTGTGTGTGACTCTTCTAGAACACACTCACAGACACCACAGTAAAGACAGTGTTGACGACTCCAGCTCCGATGGTTGCGTAGATTGGTTGCTTCACACCAGCAGCAGAGAAGATTCCAGTGGAGTAGTAGAAGACCTAAGAAGAGGAGGAATAAAGAAGAGCAGTTCACACCTCACTCAGAGAAAAATAACTCTTTCCTGACGTGACGTCAGACTCACGGCATTGATTCCTGACAACTGCTGCGACAGCTGCAGCATCACCGCAATGAGGAGCGGCTGACGATAAGACGCCGAGCGGAACAGCTCGAGGATGGTCACCTTCTTCTCCACGGCCATCTTAGCGCTCTCTTCCTTCATCTCCTGGAGGTCTTTGCTCACATCCTCACTGCCGCGCAGACGAACCAGAGCTGTCTCAGAGAGAGACGCCGTGGTTACAGTGAGGCTAACACCAGGTGGCAGCACCTGCTCCGTCAACTCAGTTGATGCCTCATAGAACCACACACACATTTCAGTTGTCACACACTTTATAAAAGATATCATTTGGCCACAGTGGTTACCTTTACGCGCCTGCTCCTCCTGTTTGAGGTTGATGAGCAGGAAACGGGGGCTTTCAGGGCAGAAGGGCAGCAGGATACACTGCAGCACAGCAGGGGCCACAGTGAGGGCCAACAGGAGGGGCCAGAGCCTCTGTGAGCCCAGCAGAGCCTCCAGACCAAAGATCTACAGGTGAGAGACCAGGTGAGAGACCAGGTGAGAGACCAGGTGAGAGACCCGGCGACCACAGCTTCTACACACAGACAGTTAATCAATAAAACTGTACTATATTGATCCCATAGATATCCTGTTAACAGGCTGCCCCCTGCAGGCACCAAGCATGTAGTTCCTCTGGGAATCGAACCCAGGACTCTCTGCTTCCGAGGCAAGCGGGCTAACCACTACACTATGGAACCGTCAGGACAAGACAGACTGAGCTCCCCCTGCTGGTCTATTGATGCAACAACCTAATGTTATTCACAGAGTCAGCCCCACCCTCACCTGAGCGATCAGGATTCCCACCACCACCCCCAGCTGGTGCAGAGTTCCAAAGGCTCCTCTGAGGGGAGTGGGCGACACCTCCCCGACATACATGGGTGTCAGGCCGGTGAAGAGTCCGCAGAAGAGGCCGATGACCAGGCGACCAGCGATGACCATCTCATAGGAGGAGCAGATGGTGGAGAAGCCCATGAGGAGCCCACCGATGACGGCCAGAGAGTTGACCAGGAACATGGAGCGACGTCTGAGGAGGAGGAGGAGGAGGAGGAGGAGGAAGGAGTCTTACTGGAGAACAGCAGAACATTTCCTGGTTCCAACCCTAACTGGAGCACCACCAAGTGGAGAGCAGAGAGGTTGCGCTTCGCTGCAGTGGAGATGTGGACAAACTGACCTTCCAAATCTGTTGGCCATGACGCCCACACTGAAGGAGCCCACCATCCCGCCCACACTGAAGATGGCCACAGCAATGCTCCAGACGACGGTGCAGATGTTTGGGCTGATGGACTTCCCATAACGCTCCACCCACGTCTGGTTGAAGAAGGACTTCAGTTTCTGAAGAGGAGAACACAAGGGTTATGGTTAGCTGAGGCTAGCTGGGTTAGGGCTCAAGTTAGCTGAGGCTAGTTAGCGGTGACACCCACCTCCTCAGGAGCGTTGATGACTCCGGTGTTGTATCCAAACTGCAGGGAGCCGATGACGGCTGTGGCCAGAGAGAAGAGGAGGTAACCTGTGACCTGCTTTTCCTGCAGGAGGAAGAGGAGGAGGAGAAGCAGGTTATAAAAAGGGCAAGATACTGAGGCATTACAGCTGAAACAACCACACATTTATGGAACAATCGATCTGACTTTTATTAACGTTGTTCAAAATTATTTAGTCTGTAAATTAAAATTATAAATAGATGAGTTTAAGATGATGAAGATGAAGATGAAGATGATGGTGATGGTGATGATGAAGATGGTGGTGATGGTGATGATGATCTAATGCTTTCTCATTCTTTCTTGTTCCAGCACAGAAAGGGTTAACCTGCAGCTGTGAGCTCATCAATGTTCAGCAGTGTAAAACAGGGCCTTTAGGGGGCAGTATTGAGACTGAGGTGGAGGAGGGTGAGGATCAGCTCAGGGTGAAGATGGTTTGACCTCAATTACAGCTTTGACTCGTTATATTTCTGATCACTTATGACCATGACATTACAACTGTGTTGTAGCACCACCTACAGGAGACGTCCTGTAACTTCAGAGTGACGCTGAAGAAAACACCTTTTACTTTCATTCTTTGTCTCTGCCTGTGATTTGTTTTTTCCTCACAGTGACTCAGGAAATCATGTTCAGGTCACATGACTCCTCAGGCCAGGATCAGTGACAGCAGCTGATTGGTCAGAACGGGTGAGGCTGAAAATGAACAGCACAGGGAAAAAAAACTGGTTCCTCATGAAGACAACAGTCCGACCGACAACGGTCCGACCGACAACAGTCGACAACA